CAGCGCCCAGGCCCCCGCCTGCACCCACCCCGCCGCCGCGGGGGGGCAGCCCGCGGCCGCCGCCAGCGAGATCCTGGCCGTAACCCACGCCGGGGCCCAGCAGGCCCAGCTGCGCCATAGCCGCCACCTGCTGCTCCAGCGCCCGTCGGCCCGTCGGGCCGCTGCCCACGCCACCGACGCCACCGCGCATGGCCGCCTCGCAGCGCGGCCTGCCGCTGCAGCGCCGCCACGCCCGTCGGCCTGCTGCGCCGCGCCCGTGCCGCGGCCGTTGAGGCCTGCACCGCCGGCGCCGCGCATGGCCTGCGCCAGCGCCAGCTGCTGGACCATGGTGGAGCTGGCGGCGCCCGGCGCGCCGCCCCCACCCAGCAGCTGGCCGGCCAGCGCGGGGTTCTGGTAGCCGGCGCCCTGGCCGCCGTACTGGCCGCCGCCCAGGCCATACTGCCCCGCGCCCTGGCCGCCATACTGCTGCTGGCCGGCACCATACTGCTGCTGCTGGCCGGCGCCGTACTGCTGGCCACCCGTGCTGTACTGCTGGCCACCCGTGCCGTACTGCTGGCCAACCGCGCCGTACTGCTGCTGGCCACCGGCGCCGTACTGCTGCTGGCCCCCCTGGTACTGCTGCTGGCCGACAGCACCGTACTGCTGCTGGCCGCCCTGGTACTGCTGACCACCGCCGGCGCCGGCACCGGCCAGGCCCATCTGCGCCATCAGCGTGGCCTGCTGGGCGGGGGACAGCAGGCCCGCACGCGCCAGCAGGCCCGCCTGCGCCAGCAGGTGGTTCTGGCTCTGCGCCTGCGCGGCGGCCGCCGCCTGCGCCGCCGCGGCCGCGGCCTGCCCCGCGCCGCCGTTCATCGCCAGCAGGCGCTGAAGCAGCGCGGGGTTGCTGTACGCCGCGCCCAGCTGCGCCTGCTGCGCCTGCTGGGCCTGGGAGCGCAGCAGCGCCTGCTGGCGCAACGCGGCCTGCTGCTGCGCCACCGCCAGCGACTGCATGCTGCCCAGGCCGCCAGCTCCGGCCTGAGCGCCGTAGGCGCGCGCCGCCGCCGCTTGCTGCTGCTGCTGCGCGGCATAGGCACTGCCGTACTGTCCACCCAGGCCTGCAATGGGAGTGGGCAGGTGCCAGGGGGTTAGGAGTATTGGGACTTAACAGGGTTTGGAGTACAGGCGAATCACACTCCTGCACCCGTACATTTACACCAAGCCAGCAGGACAGCATGAACCAAGCAGGCAGGATGCGCCATGAGAACGCAGCTCTGAACCCTCTAGTTTCGATTCCACCATGCCGCCATCCACACTCCCCGTACCTGACTGCGCATACTGCTGCTGCTGCTGCTGCTGCTGCTGCAGGATGTGCTGCTGCAGCGCAGCAGCCTGGTTGGTGTAAACCCCGTTGCCCTGCGGGGCGTCCCTGGGCGCCCCGGAAAGCCTGCTGTGCGGTGCTGGTGTTTCCATACCCCTGTTGACGTGGAGGAGAGGGTTTCAGATTGGTTCATGCACGGGTACTGTGGCTCGAGATCACAGAATCTTCACCAGAGTCCTCAGTGCGCCCGCGGTACAGCCACCCAATCGCCGACTACCTCCTCACCCCCAAGCTTCAACAGTACATTGCCCCACCAGAGACTCACGTGCGGGGTCAGGCTGGGAGAAGGATTCTGGCGCATGCTCGCATCAAAGCTCTGGGTGCCAGGCAGGTGCACCTGCCCGGTCAGCGAGGGTGCAGGTGAGCCTGCATACGTGCTGGGCCCCAGCAGGTCGATGGACCCTGCCAGACTGCCCGTGCGCGGCGTCCCCGCAGCAGAAGCGGCGGGGCTAGGCCCGACGGGCAGGAAGAGGCTCGAGGGCAGGCCGTGATCAGCAGGCAAAGTCTGCGAGCCCTCCGTTGGCACCCCCAGCGGGGGGGATGTGACTGCAATTTCATCGGCTTTGGATATCTCTGACATCGAAGCAAGCTCCGCCTGTCGCACGGCGGAGGAAGGGGGGCGGTTGGAGGGGTCAAGCTGGCCTGGGATCGCCCTAGGCGAGCACCAGGGCCGCAGCGCGTGTGCAGGGGAAGCGACATCACCATGTTGGATGCAAGGGCTTGCAACATCTGTCATCATGCCGGCCACCATGCCAGCCCGACGCCGGTGCGTGCCCCACGGCGCAACCCAGGCCATCCCAGGGTGCCTTCCCAGCGGCCCGGGCAAGGGGTGTTGCCTCCCACACTCCGATTCCCCTTTCACCCCCCACACGGACCAGCGCACCTTTTGTCGATGTGAGCCTGTTCACCGTCGGCAGCTCAATCAAGCAGGCTCTGCATGCCCCCGAAGCTCGTCGCTTGTGCACCAGTCAGCGGTACCACGGCTCGGGAGCCCCCGGGGTCCGTGTGCCCCCCTTTCACTCCGGCTGGGCTTTGAGTCACAGCCTCGTGACACTGCAGGAAAGATCGCGAGCACGCCCCGGCGCGGTGCAAATCATCCGTTCCCCAGGCTGTGCTGGGGCGATGTCGGGAGTCGCGCTTCGACCCCGGGGTTCCCTGTATCGCCATTACAACCCACGAGCACGACAGCAGGGGGGGGCGCCAAGGGGAGGCAGTCGGCAGGCAAGCCTCCCAGGAGTAACCCCCCCCCCACCCC